ATCTATATTCATATCATAAGGTATCCACCTATGTGAAACAACCAAACCATCTTCACCTGATCAACACAGCAAAAGAGAAATGTTGTCAAATTCGCCTTCATTCGCCTGGCGAACCCTCGCAGCGAACCTTCGCCTGGCCTTCGCCTGGCGAACTCTCTCAGCGAACACTCGCTAGGCTTCGCCTGGCGAGACTTCCCAGCGAGCCCAAGTCAGTAGCTACTGACTTCATTCGCCACCATTCGCCAGCACCTTCGCTGGGCGAACCTTCGCTATCCCACTTCGCCTGGCGAACCCACCAGCGAAGTCTACTGGGACTTAAATATAATTATTCGCCAACATTCGCTAGGCTTCGCCTGGCGAAGCTTCGCCTTTGCTCGCCTGGCGAGAGCCAGCGAACCTGCGCAGAACAGAACCCCATTCTGTTCCTCCTTCACCAATCCATCATCAACCCTCTCTTACACATCCAAATCAGTACAAACAACATCAATACATGTTACCCGACTACCCTACGGCATTATTACTCGATTTCAACCGATTAAATCATCAATCTACCGATTATCCAACATTTTGCCCTAAATGGAAAGTGATGGAAACTCTACTAAAACCCTAACCCAACATACATAACATCATACCATGATCAAATAGAAACATTTCTCACCCTTACCTCGATTAATCGGAGCTTTGATGTTGGTTCTTGACGATTTCCACTTTTCCTCTTCTTCTCTTCTCTTTCTCTCCTTTCTTCTTCTTTCCTCTTTCTTTACAAAATGTTTCCTATCTTTCTTTTCTTTTCTTTCTCTCTTATATAATTCCTTTATTTTCCTTCCTTCCAATTTCCTTCTCAATTCTCTATTAATCCCAATTAATAAAAATTAATTTCCAACATTAATAAAATCCCACTAAATAAATTAATTACTACAATTAATTATTTAATGAAATTTGGGTTGTTACAATGACTAGCAGAAGTATTGCGTTAGGAGTTCCTTCCACCATATCATGGTCTGGAAACCTTAAAATCGACTTATTTTCTCTCAACTCTCGAATTAACTATGAAGATCGGAGATAATCCAAAATTAAAAGAATCTAAAGTGCTTTCAAAAATAAGACTGAGAATTGCTTTCTTCATTTTAGTGTAACAACTATGACGATCGTGAATTACATTAGATGGATCTGACTATGAAAATTTGAAAGAATTAGTAGTCGATTTCCAAAAAAAGGCATCATTGTTCCACTAGGTGATGAGATGAACTCTTAGACCATCTCCAACTGTGGTTCTTCAAATTGATTTGCCAACTTGGCATTGAAATTGTCAACAAAAAGTTGTTTCAGCTGGTGAACGTTCCTTGCATAAGCAACGGTTCTTCATTTTTTTTATTATTAAAATAATTATTTAACTTGTTGATTTTATTTTTTTTTTAACTTTTTTTATTTATTATAAATATAAGTTTGTTGCAAAAATTTATAACAATCCTATTTTCTCTCACTTTTATTTACTCTTTAACTTTAAATTTCTCTCTCACAATTTCATCATTTTATTCATAAATTATTATTTTCAATTTTATGTTTAATTTTAATTTTATGTTTAGTTTATATTTATAGTAATTAAAATTTAAATATTTAAATTATAATTTTAAATAAAATAAATTTAATATAAATAATATATTTAAGTAAAGTAGTGGGACCCAATATGGGTTCTTTGAAGTTGCACCATTAGAGTGAAAATTGAATAAGTTATTTTAGAAGAGTGGGTCCTACAAAGAACCTAAAAATGGGTTGCACTATTGGAGATGCTCTTAGAGAGATGGGTTGAATTTCCAATCCGACGGTCCATTGATGGATATACAAAATTAACATTTTATCGTTTAAGTTAATTGATGAGTTCAAGTTAATTGATTAAAGATATTCAATAGTGATCAAAGATTTGTGATCAGGATCAAATATGAGGCTCTGAAGCATGGTTGTTAAGGAAATGATTTTAGATATTAAGCTTTTGGCCTACTCAAAAATATTAATATATAATCGCTTCCAAACAAATTTTCTCTCGTCAATATCTTTTAGCATTCTAGATGGAAAAGAAAAAATTGAACAAAAATAATTCTAGAAATATAACTCAAAAGTCATATCACGTCTCGTACTATATAGGTCCTTAACGCGTTACCCACACATATGATATAACGCCGAGCATCCATGATCCATATATTTCCCTTCATTTTCATTGCAACTAATTAACTATATAATATATTTCTAAGGGGAAAAAAACTATATAAATATGTATACACCTCAAAAGAAAATACGCATCTAACTCCACTCGTTTTTTGTTTCACTCACAACTCCTTCACTCTTTCTTTTTTTTCCATAAAAAAAAACCATGAAACGTAATAACAAACTACTCGGACCCGGATCCGTTTCTACAATGGGTTCAACCGGAACAGACTTTGAGTTTTCGACCGGCGTTTTAACTGAGCTACCAAACGACGTCGTTTTCTTCGGAAAAGTTATAACACGCAAACCAGAACCGCAGACAGTAAGAGAGAACGCGGCTGTTCCCGTAATTCGATCGATGGCCGGCAAGGAAAGCCGGTACCGGAGGAGCGGTAGTGAGAGGAAGAGATATACAGTACTGGTTTGTTTGGAATGGTGAAGTTTCCGTTACAAATGGAACTGAGTGATATTAAGATGAGGCAAGAGCGTAGGGAGCCGATGCCGCTTCCGAAGTTTACGACGAAGGAGGACGGCGGTGGAGAGAGTTGTTGGGAAATGGTCCGACCGTTGCGGCGGCGGGGAACGATTATGAGTGCCTTGAAGGCTTCGTTTGGATGCATTCACATAGTTTAGAATTTATTTTTTTTCAACTTTTTATTGTGTTTAAAATTAATGATTTTTTTTTAAAGTTTTTTTAAAATATAAGAATGTGTTTTATTGTGTGTTTTTGCATTTGTTAATTATAATTATTTAAAATATAAGAATGTGATTTAGTTAGAAGTTTTAAATAATAGAGTTAATAATAAATATATTTATATTTAGTTAATTAATTAAATATAAAAAAATTAGCGGAAAATTTTTGATGAAAACATTATAAAATTATATAATAGATATAGATAATACTTGTCATATTGTCATATTTGTTGAGAATATTAATAAATTAGTTTTTAAAGACAGATTTATTTATTAAATTCTGGATCAAATAATTAAATCAAAAAAAATTTATAATTATTTATACGAGGATATTTTGATAAAAAAAAATATAATATAATGGTAGGAGAATAAATGATGGGGTATGAGATAAAATTTTACCGTAAATTACTTTTCTCTTTGTTAAGAGAAAATTTATGTTTTAAATTTATTGAATAATCTATCCATTTATATTTATTAAATATGTATTTAGATTTATTAAATATTCAATAATTTATTATATAGATAAGTTATATTTACTATTTAATAAATTTTAAAAATATTTTTATTTTTGTATTCGTTAATTTACATTTAAAAGATGAATTTAAAACAATAGACAACTTAATAATTTCTTTTGTTTTTTTATAAATAGAATCGGACTTAAATTATGTTTTTTCTTTGTTTTTTTGGGATTTTTGTTGTATTATATTTTAGATTTTTTATAATATTAATAAATTATTAATAATATTTTAGTGTGTATGGATTAGATAATTAAAAATTTATAAGAAATTTGAAATTTTAATTAATTTAAATAATTCAATTGAAATATATTTATTACTAAATTTCTTTGTTCGAATAGAGTATCCAAATAATTTAATGCTAAAGGTTTGTGGTTATTTTTATAAGTTTTAAAATTTTAGTGCCAAATTTAAATTTTAAAAATAGGGTTTAAGTTTCAATTTTAAAAAATTTAAACGGGTCAATTCGTAAAATTAAAAAATTATGAAGAATTAATTTATAATTTTTTAAATATTTTAAAGATCAACTTATAAAATTTAGAAAATATAGAGATCAATTTGTAAAATTTGAAATAATAATAGTAATATCCAATTTGAAATTCAAGTTTAATGGAGTTGAAGGAAATTTCAAATTCTATGATTTTACTTGAACAAAATACTTCATAATTGCTATCATTTTAATAGTCTTGCATATTTTTTACTAAACAATAAATTTTGTTTAATTATTTTTAAAAAATTACCTCAAATATTACTTTCTCTCATTATAATCCTTCATCCAAATCCACTCTCCTATTATTCTCTCTTCAATTAATTCTTTAAATATATTTTTTAATATATTAATAAAGGATATTAATATATTAATAAAGGATATTAATATATTAATATATTAATATATTAATGAAAGACAATTTTATAAAATTTATAGAATTTCTTTTGTTCTTTTTTACAAATATATGTTTGATATGGCATGAGCTTAAAAAAGAATGGCAAAAAAATAAAATAAAACAGATAATGTCCAAAAATTTAAGGTGATTGTTTTTCTCGATGCTCATAATACCACTATAAAATTTTATCAATGCATATCCAAAAATTTAAGATGATCATTTTTTTCGACGCTCTCTCAATAAAGTATATATATTAGAATATTTCTTTACGAGGAACACATAAGAATCTTGTGAAAGACATATTATATATTCATCTAAAAACTTAAAATAATAGGTATATAGATTCTCTCCTTTATAAAATTTCCAATATTTATTTTTTTAATTAATGTGAAACTTCTATTTTTCTCATACACTAATTTCAATTTAAACATACATTTGTATTTGCGAACATGTAACCAAACACATGCTGTATGTATGAAAATGATAAAATGACTTATAAAAAAAAGGAGGTGGTAAGTATTAACATCAATCAACAAAAATGATCTATCATAATTGTCACTATAATCATTTATGAGTTTAACTTTAATATACTGTCAAACAATTAAAATTAATTATATATGATGTCTATAAGGACAATTTTAATTAGTCATTATAATTGATTGACTTAATAAAAACAACAACAGAATCTTCAAGCTAGCACCATGAATTAGAAGGATCTTGGTAGCTTCTCACTGTATTCAACTATGGCTGATGGTGGAAGTTGGCCACTGCTAATTTCATGTACTGTTGAGAAGAGAGGAAACAACTCTAACCACCCACGGTGGCTTAATACCTCATATACTTCCCTTGCAGTTGACACACCCTAATTGGTGCAACAAAATTTAAAATTAAGATGCTTATCACACACTCAACCACTAAATACTGATGCGTGTCAGACACTGAGACATGCTTAATTTCAGAGATGTCGGTGCAACATTCAAATGTAAACACTATTGTTTTTGGTTTGCCATAGTAAAATTCATGGATATTATACCTGCAATTTTTGGCCTTGCAGCATCTCAGCTTCAAGTTCATCAAAAGATCTATAGAGAATATTGAAAATCATATATAACTAATCAACTATTTCCTTTTCTCACCTTGGAATTATAGACCAAAGAGAAAGAAAGAAAGAAAAAGATACAAACCTCTTCCCTCCATTCTTTGCATAAGCCTCAGCAACTTTCCTGTTTCTTCCACCCACTACAACAACAGATAATACTTAACTGAGCAAAGAATGATTGAGCAATGGACTTGATGTAGTAAAAAAATTCAAGCATTCAATGCATAATACTTTCAATAGACTTCAATAGTTGGACGAAAATGAACCGTTTATAAATTATGTGGAATCAGACACTTCAAATTAAAGACGTGTCTGATATTTGACAGGTGTCAGTAAATGACACTGACACATAATTACGTTCCGTCACTTCTATTTTCGACACAAAGCCAGTCATATGGCATTACCAATACTTGAATGCCGTGAATCTCGGCCCGATTAATAAGGGGTGAAATTAAGTAGCTCTTTTACTTACAGCATGTTGTGATAAGGTCAGCTACACCACAGCTCTCAAAAAAGGTGCTATCCTTAACAGAAGGAAACAACAACTTTGAAAAGGCCTTCATTTCTCTAAGACCAAGTCTCATGATTGCAGCCTACAGATATTAAAACAATCTTAGATACAAAAACAATAATCCATGAAAAATTTTCATATCCTAAAATCTCTTTAAGCTTACTTTTGTATTATTTCCCATCTCCAAGCCATCGACAAAACCTGCTGCTATGGCCACAACATTTTTTAGAGTTCCACATAACTCAACTCCTTCAACATCTTGAACCTAGTTTTAGTATAGACAAAAGAATCATTAACATAGGTAATAATAGGTTAGTGTTTTACAAATTTGAAACTACTTATGATCACTTGATTCTATCATGTTTCGACAATGTCTCTTAGGCATAATTCATTCCAAATTTCAGATCTGTAGCCTTTGCAATGGCCAATTTGTAAAACACTGACACACCAAATCCGACTGTTAATGTTGAATATGGTTCATAATCACGGTGATAATGGTTCAGAGGTATTCTTATAAAACACTTGGTCGAACTAGGCAAACAAATATTGTGTTTGTTGTTTGCGATTTACTTATATTTATATTTTGTTATTGGTTGTTCAAATCATTAAAATTTGAAAATTTGTATAGAATGTCAGTCGACACTGACACGTCTCAGATACCAGACACATCTGCAGTCTGAAATGTCAATGTTTACCAAGTCATTGGATCTAGATACAAGATCCAACTATGAACATGATTCCTCTACAACCGCCTTATCATTCGGTTGACTGTATAGGATTCAATTTGACTGACTACACTTAGATCCAAGTGTTCTGCAGCCACTATAATTATGCAGCTGCTGCAGATGATCTCAACAACCAAGATTTCTCAATTAAATTCAAAATAAATTGTTATAATTATTTTACAAGATTGTTGCACTTACAGCTGTCACAATGAAATAAGGAGTATAAAATAAATGAACCCATCTCTCTGCAGCTTCTTTGTTCTGCCTATATCCAACTGTTGCTTCACTAAACTTCTCTACAGCAATCTGTACAAAACTTAATTAATCAAAATATCCAAAAACACAAAATTGGACCCTCTACAATTATAATATGATACTACAGTTCTAAGAATCGTCAGATTTCGAGAGACAAAACAAAGTTTCTCACTCGAAATTTAACGGTCCTACAACCGAACAACAATAATGTATTGTAGAGTATTCGCAGGACCGTCTTAGAGGGCGTCAAAACAAACTACCTTACATGGTCTAAAATTTGACACGTTTAAAGCGTGATTAAAAAGAGCCTCATAAAATATTTGTCATGGTTAAACCATGACAAAATAGAACGACTATTTGATTTTCCACACTTAAATCATGGTTAACCTTCACAGGACCTCTGAAAACTTAAGACGATCCTGATTATCCAGGTTTCAAAAATGCAACTAACTAAGAAGAAATTTAACTACCTCATTTGCAATGTTTGCTCCCATCAAAACCGAACAATTGATTCCAAGTTCTTCAGAAATGAGAGTTGAGATCATGCAAGGTCCTTCCATTTTAACCTCCATACCTTTAACAAGGGAAATAGCCTCAGCATCTGCCCTTATTTTTCCAGCTATTCTTTTGCATATTCCTTCCATAAATTGGTGTGGTGTCACAAACACTAACATATTTGCATCCTTCACTGCATAATTTACTCAATCAGAACACCACAACAAGTTGACACCAACACCTTACCCTAAAAAAAATGTAAAAACAATTTTTTAATGTTTATGGAGTTTCCTATCTTTTTTTTCCTATTTAAAAATTTAATTTTCTAATTCATAGTAAAAATATTAAAGAACAAAGTACTAGTTTAATACCTGCATTTTCAAGGTCTGGGTCTGCTACAACATTCTTTCCAAGCTTGATTCCAGGGAGGTATTTTACATTTTCCTGTCAAAAGCAATATTAACATACTAATATTCATTCAGGACACGATATCAACAATGACACCAAACACGACATTGATTCTGAAATTTCGATAATGATAATAATTTAAAAAAAATAAATAGATTGAATGTAATCACATATATTGACAGTGTGTCGGTGTCAGACACTGACACGTGTCTGACCCCATATTCACCTTGATGTATCGGTACTACATAAAATAGTCCTTACATTGGTTTGATTGATGACATCTGTGAGCTTTTCACCACTTGGTAATGTCTCCTCATATACCCACATTCTAACTTCATCTGAATTTATCAAATAATTCATCAAAACTAAAAATTTATGATTATTATGTGGAAAAGTTATGTTTCTACAACACAAACTTAAAATTACCATATTCCAAAATCTCAATAGCATTTTCACATTTACATTTTAAATTGCAAACCGCAATTGCAATGTGATTTTCAATCTATGTCTAAATCGGGTCAGAAACCGCATTAAACAATTTCAAAATTTTCAATCCTAATCTACTTTAAATAAACTTTCATCTAAATTTATTAAATAATTAATATATTATTCATATTCAATAAATTTGAAAAATAAATATTTTTATATAAGTTAGCTATGGTGTCATTGTCAAATATGACACATATTGAATATCAGACATGATCAATTAGATAGAACATATCTCATGTTATACAAAATTCATTGGTCCAAAAGAAGCACTTAATCTTAAAAACCAAAGAACCTCATAAAATCTAATGAACTAAAAATGAAGAGAATTATAAACAAAGAACATAAGAAAGAAAAGTACCATGGAAATTGCTCATTTTAATGGTATTGGAAGCAATAAGCTTAGATGCAACACTCCCCCAATTACCACTACCAATAACAGTAACTTTAGATCGAATTGTAGCATCATTAACATTGTTTAGGGACACAGTTTCTCCTCCTTGAACTTCCAATGCTGGAGCCATGAAAGAACAACAAAGAAAGAACTGAAAATTTCAATGAGTGGAAGAGTAAAACAAAGAAGAATAGAAGCTAAGGAGGAGAAGAAGAAGAAGAAGAAGAAGAGAATGAATATAAAAGAAAAAAAAGGGTCATTGAGGCGGAGATGCCATACAAAATCGTGAGAAACTAAGTTTTATCTTTGATGTTTGAACTTTTGAGGTTAAATCTGGCGATTCACTCTATGTTGGGGGGTGAGAAACAAGACATGGACAATAGCATTGTTTGTAGCTTTGTAGGGCCACTGTGTGTATTTGAATTATGAATTTTCTCAAATTTTGTTTCACTTCTCTTTTATTTATTCATAATGTTTTATAAACATCTAAAAAGTTACTAATTCGGTTAGATTTGACAAACCCAAAAGATTTTATGAAAATAATTTTTATGAATAATATGTAAACATTCTTTAATATTTAATAAATAAATGTAATTTTAGCTTCTAGACTTGCCATGATTTAAATAAATTTTCAAAATTCAATTCATTTAAATTTTTCCATAAATGTACATATGTATAATTTAGAGTATTTCGTATACAAATCATGACTATCGGTCTATAATGTCTCAAAAAGTCAATACACTATTATAAAATATGTATTTAATTTCGAACGTAAAGAGAATTTAACATCAATTACACAAGTAAGGTAATGAAGGGTATCATAAAAACTTGTCACTTTATCTCTTTAATTTTGATTAAGCGATGAAATAAAGTGTTCTATATGTGACTTCGATTCTCAGCAACTGCATTTTTATTATTTTTAAAATTGGATGACGCGTCTATAATTTGCTCTCAGATGTAATTAAAACCAAGGTAATAGAGTAATATTATTATTTAAATTTTGTATTTATTTTTCTACATTTTCGTTTGAATATGTATTACAAAACTATATTTTGTCCATTTTAAAAACAGAAATATTGTACCTTTTGCCCATTTCTCATAAACATTGTACCAAAAATATTCATTGTTTATATCATATGCAAAGCCAAAATAGCACACAACATATAATTTTACAACAAAACTAAAATAAATGATTGACCAACAAAGATAATAACCAATATATAAAGTCTTATAGGTTGTCCAAAAGTTCTTTTCTGCAATTTGTCACCACTTGTTAAACATTTATAACTTGAACAACATTTGAAAACAATTAGGATAATCAACAACAACATTAAATCTTTATTAAAAAGAATAAAAAAAGTAAAATGAATAAATATATATTACTAAGTGATATAAAACATTTACTTACTAGTTTTCATGTATTCTGTCTTAATGATCATGACGAATAACATGCACACACTACTACAAAAAAGCTATTTAATAGTGTTTTTTTTTGCTTTTTGATAGTGCTTAAAAGCGCTATTAACCAGACTGCTATTGTAAAAAAAAAATTGATAGCGCTTTAAAAGCGCTATTATAGTACTGGTAATTAATAGTGTTTTTTCAAAAGCGTTATTATAGTACCGATATTTAATAGCATTTTTTCAAAAGCGCTATAGAAGTATACATTTTGCATGTTTGTAGTAGTGGTAATTTGCTTTGATTTTGATAGCACTTTCAAACAAAACGCTATTATAAGACACATATTAGATAGCGCTTTTCCATAAAAGTGCTATTATAGTACGTTTCGTTAATAGCACCCTCTCTTCAAAACGCCATTGTAGTACACTTTTTTTTTTACACAAAATCATTCTTTTGGTGTGTGTGTGTGTGTGTGTGTATATATATATATATATATATATATATATATATATATATATATATATATATATATATATATATATATATATATATATATATATATATATATATATATATATATATATATATATATATATATATATATATGACATTTGCATTTTACGACATTAGAATTCATAAAAGAATAATGACTAAGCAGCTAAAATATTTGAAAATAAAATAATAATGACAAATGTGATACCATATATATCTATACCACTGCCATAATAAACACAGAAGGAATTGTATCTATGTATATAGGTCAATCTACACTACATAATAGTGGTAAATGATAACAAACAAATTAACAAACCATTTTCGTGACATTGATCTCAATGAAATAAAGTTAAAACTTTTGCCACTAGTTATTAATTTGGCTAAGAGTACTTCAAACCAAATTCCAAACAAAAAGCACAATCACTTAGCTAGGCATATTCTCTACACTAATGAAGAAAACATCTAAAAAAACAAGAAAGGACAACAAAACAACATCAAGTAATAACCACTTTGCGAACCAAAGCACTGCTACATCCAAAGATACAACCACTTTGCTAGCTAGCTAGGCAAAATAATTGCTTCTTGTTTTCCTGTATCATAGAAAAAATATTGATTATGTATTGTACAATAATAAGAATACAGAAACCTGAAAACAAAATTTTAATATATAATAAAAAATACTGAAATGTAAAGATCACCAAATCAAAACTAGAAGCTCTGCATTATGAAGAACATCATTTTACCTAACCAAGTTCAATGGTAAAAACAGGATTCAAATGAACACCTTAAGTGAAAATGGTACAACCAATTCAAACTTTTAATATGCAAGTAAGGTATTAAGTATCTATATATTGTAGGCTTTAGAAAACTCACCAAAAATATCATCCACCATATAGGTAGCCCAATCCTCCTTGACCTCAGTTAACTTATCCTTAGAGTAAGTACGACATTTGTGGTCAGGAAAGTACTTCAAATATAAAAACATCAACTGTTGTATTAGAACTAAGTTACATTAATTTACAAATTAACAACAATTAAAATCACGTACATTTATGGGGATCGTAATTTCATTTTCCATGATGACCTCTTTCATAAATCGCATTACAAAATATCCACGGTCAATGCTATTAATTTGACAGGGACACTGCAAAAAAACATTTACATATATTACTTTTACTCTACATAATTGTTTAAAAATAACGTTAATTTGGACATACCCGAATTTTTGACCATGAAAATTTTCTTTGACTTGGAGACTTTAGGCACTTTAGAGTTACTATTAGCACGATAAATTTGCAACGCACTAACAAAATGAAATTAACTTCAAATGAGTAATTATTATAACTAAGAATACTTATATAAATGTTAAATTAAAAGAGTCTATACTCACTTCTCAAACTTGATTTTTAAATTTTGATGTTTAGTTGGCTCACCATTCAACGGATCCATGTAATATATCACCTCAGCATCGAGATTGATGACAAGTAATACCAAATGTTTCCTGTATCCAACATTTGAATATTGCAATAAAAATTTCATTGAATATAGTTTTTTCTCATAAATTTAATAACATTTTGAATAGAAATCTCACCCTAGATTGCAAGGTGCAAGAATCATCTTATCCTTAAAGTACTCCTCATCTTTCAGAAGTATTTTTGCTATAGCATTTCCTAGATTATCCTCCCGTGATACATGTGGGGATATGAAGGAGAACTTATTTATTAATCCATTTGGAATAATAAACTTGTCATACAAATACCTAAAAATGAACAACAATAATTGGTATTAATATATTTGTCAACAATGTAAATATTAATATATTTGTCAGATTAGAGGACATTTATAATAATAGAGGTACCTGGAAAATACAGTGATAATAGAGGCACTTAACCAATTGTATCAAGAATCTCTTTTATACTCTATACACGTAGATGCTCTAAAAACTCCTCACCAAATATACTTTCCTCCATTTTTATTTGAATTAACGATCCAACCCTCATCATCTTTTTCACATACATATCAAGGAAAGGTAAATTTACAAGACTGGTTGAACCGCCAACTCTAGGAGACTCTTCAATTTTGAATTTTTTGTTGCTTTTGTTAGGTGACGAAACATAATCAACACTTTGTTGGGTATTCTTAACATTGTTTTGGGATTGATCAGGATTCTAAAAAGTTTTATTAATTAAGGTTAGTGATCAAATAATAAAACAAATAACGATCAAGCAAGTTAATAATAAGTAATTTACCTTTTCACATTCAGCAACAAATTCAAGAAGTTTCATTGGCCGTGGCACAATTGTTCCTATTTCCTGACAAACCATCGATACATCACCACTTTCAACAGATATAGGAAATTGAGCATTTGGCACAATTGCAACTTCGATATTAACCTTGACATATCCAAGCAGTAACGTCATGTCGTACACTGTGTTACCTTTGGTGTTATATAGTTTGCCACGAGCAACCAAACACCGACTCGGGGATAATAAATATATATTAACAGGAAAGAGACCCTAAACCAATGAGATACGAATAAAAACATTAATATCATTATTTACAAAACAAACATTATTGGAAATAATGAAGATTTATTTCCATTAAAGTTGTTCCAAAATGACAAAGTGGGTGATATAGTTAATTGACAATAAATGCTTAGTCCCACATTGGAAGTGGAGTAAAATTAAATAGTATTTATAAGGCCCTTGGAACAATGTACTTTCCAAAGGAGCCAAAGAGGATAAAGTGCCACATAGTCATATGTGGTGGTCCCAAGTCTTATGTCACTTGTCTCATACAAAACACCCCTCGCCGGTGTCGCCACTGGCGACACCGGCTCCGGCTCCGGAATCGGATCCGAGGGCGTGGGCATAGAGGCGGCTTGTAGACGGCACTTGAGCACTTAGGCACGACGCATCGGAGCAATCGGGCTATTCGCAGCGTTAATGAGGCGGCGCCGGTGGTGCTCCGGCCGCCTCCGGCGCTCATTAGAGAGTGTTGTTTATGAAGAGTTGCAAACTTCCGAAACGACACATGCATGGCTATAAATATATGCTTGATACTTCGAAATCAAATACTCCAAAAATCTGATATCCTCTTCTATATAATTCCAAACGTTTTCCTTGCATTAAAAACTTCACCAGTCTTGTGCAGTTTCGAGTAAAAGGCTGACTTATCCTGGGTATTCAGGCTGTTCCAACTCTAAGACAATTTGAGAGTGTGCTTGAAATACTT